AATCTAATATTAATGAATAGCACTCAAGGTTGACAGTTTCGAAAAACGGAAGGTGGGGAAAAAGCGATAAAGCATCACATTAGAAGTGAAGAGAAAATTTCTAAAATGTACCCTTGATTTGTTGTCTCTGTTAAACTCGATAAAGCTCTTCGCTATCTCTGTTGTGAACAGGAGCTGGGCAGTGGTAAAGTCATCATCACCAGTGCTCTTCGGTGGTTTCGCCTTCTCAAAGGCCAACGCCATTTCCACCATCTCCCATTCACCTGCAGAAGGATAAAGCATTCGATTCCGGTCAATTTCTCTTCGGAAAAATTGTAGTACTTTTCCTAATACGACTTGGCTTCTGCAATATCTAAGACCAAACCTAAGAACAGGTCAGTATCTTTGGCCTCCCAAACGGACGTGGGACCGATGAACGTGTCTACGAAGGCTTTCTTCTGAAAGACTTTTGCAGTCGTATCGGGAGTCCCTGTGCCACTCACGGCACGTTCTGCCACTGGGAGAAAATTTCTGCAAAATACAACCCCTCCTTCGAAATTTCGCTCTTCTAAAACGACCCATCCCTTCTCATCCCTCAACATCTACTATCTTCGTAGATTTTCCCATACTATCTACTAAGATCTTCCCAACTTACTACCACTTTTCCACAGTTTTTTTTTCTTTTATCCACTTTTCCCCAAGAAGCTGTCGCTGATAGGGGAAAGAGGTATAGAGCGCGTGAAGCAAGGGAAGACCGAGAAAAATCAATTGACCAAAAACAACTTTCCAAAGATAAATACGACTCCCCTCGCTAGGGATCCCCATCGTAAGACGTCTCTGATTCCACTACACCACCCACTCCAGAATTCAGTGTGAGGACATGACTTTAACGCTCATGTCCAGAAATAGTAAATATATTGTAAATTACCTACCGAGGAATACAGACCATCGAAGCGCCAGGATTCGTGGCACAAGACTCTTCGGTTCCAGATTAATGGTGTGCCGTAGACAAATCAAAGCCTTATAGTACTGAAATCAAGATCAACAATTTGACGCTGATAACTTTTCGAAATATTCAAAGTGCTCTTTGTGCCCGGGGATGGACCAGGTTT